GCTGAATACATGAGCTGTGACACCAGCATGGTGCAGTGTCCTCCTGAGCTACATTCTTATCCAGAAATGATTAAGTCTCAAACCACCCTGGCTGAATGACAGGTAATTTAGGAGCGCTATAGGGTGGGCTTTTGTATGTGTCTATGCTGAATACGGTCGCTTGAGTTCCTTTCGTCTGGCAGCTTTCCAAGAGCAAACCACCATTTCAGTTATTCAGCCTATTTTGGTTTTACAACAGCATCTCAATACGCAAGTATTTAAAATAAAAATGTACTGTATCTCTCCAACCAGTCCCCAGTCTTAAAAGAGACCATGGGCTTTCTTACCCTCCAAGGAGCTGTAGATTTCGTGGAGTTTTGCTATTTTTTAGAGGTGTTAAAATGCAGATCAGACTATTTGAGGACAGCAAGGAGATTCAGCTCAGGAAGAGACTGATCAGCCTGATGCTGTTCTCTCTGTCAGTCAGGGAAAAACGTATTATACTTTCATACTCGTGTGAAATTCATCCTGGCTACACCCAGGAGTATATCAAAGATATTTGTTTCCATAAAATCATAAAATATTACTGTAAAACACTCTTGGCTTTCAAATCTTTATAAAGTCCCATTTGCTACTGTGTAAAAGCCCTTTGGCCCCTGCAAAACTCTTTCTTCAGGGATTGAAATTAGAGAAATATGGTACACATCAACCCTGCTTAGAAGAAGAGTAGCATTTTCTAATCCATTTAACACAATCCTAGTGGTAATTCTCCTGATAGCTTTTATTCCTTCTAGGTCTAACACGCAGCGAGACATTAAATACGCAGAATTCACCTGAAAGCAAATGTCCATTATCTCACCTTCCATCAGATACAGCTTTGGAAAGACATTAAAATAGCCCATGTTTGGGGGGGATGCTGCCTTCTGGAAGGTATCGGTGTGCACGCGTGACTAACCTCGACAGGGCTCACCCCGCTACCCAAAACCTCACCTCCTACCTTGCATTTGGAGACAAGGCCAGGAAACCCCGGGTCATCCGGAGCAACCTGTGCTGAAATGACATGGCCACTAGATGTCATTCCTTTTTCACTCAAATGTAGGTTACAGAAGTATTTGCCTGGCAGAATAAGGTCCCCCCCAATCAATAGCAAGCTGAGGCACAGGTACTGCTGAGGTGGAAAGTCCCATGGCCTGAGAGACACACAACTCTTAAGACTGGCTGCTATAAAGTTTTCAAGAGAGAACCCTCCCATGCTGGCAGGAAAAAGGACCACACGGCCCAAGACTTGTATCAGACTTCATGGCTCTTCACAACTGTACGTATCACGCTTAAGGAGATATTTAATGACAACTTCACGACACAAAGTTCTGTGTATTCACTGTGACAGACACAAAGCACATGTGCTGCTGTTAAATCCACCCTATACTCTCTGCAGACTGATGCCTAGACCTGAAAATGCATTGAATCCCCATTTTTCTCTAATTCAGGAGGAATTCAGCACTTTCCTTTTTCTGAGAATCTAGGTCCAAATCACCTAGAGAAAAAGCTGGCACTGCTCGGGAGCTGAGCACATCATGTCCGTAAGCCCGGGTCCTGATGGGGATGGGAGGGAAGGACCCAGACTCCATAGCTGGCATGGGGCTGATGGGTCCGTGCTGGCATAAATTGGTTTCTGCGTGAATTCCTTGAGTTCTGATACGTATTGGTAGTTTGTAAGGGTATAACTAAGGGGAAACTTTGGTACTACATTTGTAGTATTTGCAGACCCTTTAAAACGGCACGAAAATTCAGAATAATAAAATAATAAAACCATTCCTCAAAGTTCAGTGATGAGCACAATGCAGCTAGACTTCCTGTACTTTTAGAGATTTGCTATCAATTTAAGATACGCCATTTACTGCTCCTTGTTGGCCCTCATATGAATATACATGGTGGATACACAATGATTTCTCAGGTATTGGCATGCAGTCCTCTGCATGTCTCTACGGGTTCGAAGATGACTCTGCACGTTGCAGATGCCTATGGACTATGAGGGCTGGAAGGAACCAGACCACATCATTTCACCTTCCAACTCTTCATTTTTACCATAACCAGCTCTAAAAATTTGTTATCTGCAATCTTCATTTTTTCCCCTTGTCCCCCATTAATAGCAACTTGGAGCATTTGAGAACAGAATAGAGAAATAGTGTACTAAAAGAAAGACTTCAACTGATTAAAACCAGATGTCCTGAAGAATGTCTACACGTTTACTGCCGGCACACACAAATACATCTGTTGGAGCTATCAGAGAAAAACGAATTTTACCGGATACCTGTTACCATTTAGAGTATAGAATTGCTTCCTTGAAATCATATCCGAGCTACTAAACCTCCAAATATCTTGCTGCTCAGGATTTCACTCATAAGTAATAATAACTCTGCTATGTCTACAGCCAGTTGCTGTGAAACAACTGTATCCTCTTTGGTGCAATCAGACATAGTCTGTTTGCCACATTATTTCAGCTCCTTTAGTACCTCAGTGAAATAGTTCGCCAAGTAGTTTTGCTAGTTCAGGAATCATTACTCTCTTCCTTTTTTCCGCCCTGAAAGTCTACGTTCCACGGTTATCTATCAAGTTCCTCCTATCTGCCAAACCAGCTAAGAGAGATGACAGATATAAACATCCCCGAATTACAAACACGTTGTGTGTCCATGCATCACGGTGCTGATGTATTGATACTTACAGTGCTGGTCGTGAATTCGGGTGGGTTGTCGTTCACATCTGTCACCGTAATGATCGCTGTTGCCGTGTTTGAGAGACCATAGTTAAGGTTTCCTTCCATATCTGTGGCTTGAACAATGACTATATACTGCTGAACTTTCTGGAAAAGAAAGAAAAGGAAAGATGAGAAACAAAAATGCACCCTGTAAAAAGCCGTGGTTTATTCTCCATATACAAGTGTAATCTTTAAGCAGACTAAGTTAATCGGATTCAAACTGTTACCAAAACAGACGTAAAATTTTCTATCACGTTTTTTGCAGGGATTTCTGCATATATTGGAAGGTATCACCTCTTTTATGGGAAAATAAAAATCTTATGGGCAAGAAATCTTCGGCTGAAACAGACACTGTTGTTAATTTTTAAGCATATTTTGGCAACGTTAGTTTCCGTCTTCTGAAAACCAGTAAAGATTTTGCTAATGCCTTTTCATTGAACATCACTAAGAACATTATACCGCCAAAACTGGGAGCAACATTGCCTGGTGGCCCTGCAGCTCATTCTGCTCACACCCACAGAGCATTCTAATGCTTAAAATACTTTCCATGTTTCAATCCGTAACACAATCTTGCTAAATAAGGAGAATTTAAGTCCAGTACAGGGGAAAAAACCAAAACAACGTTCAGTGCAATAAAGAAGAGTTCATTGGAACTGATTTAAATTGCTGAGCATCCCAAAAAACATGGCTCTGAAAGAAAGAGCCTTCCAGAGCAAAGCATAAACCCCCCACATGAAAATTCCTTGACAAGACGCTGTATGTCAGTGCAACTGGAAAATAACCCTGAAGAAAATAAGAGAGGGCGCCTGGTCTTCCATGTGTGTACATCTCCCAGGGATCTCTTTACTTAGGAATATCTTTTCGTGTGCTGATGTTACAGGAGTGTGTAAGATGTCAAACGTCCTTTGAAATTTCAAAGGGCAAGAATTAGGTCATTAGGTCTCTCTACTCCGGTATATACATTCTTGAAGGGCTGTGACTGGCCCAATTCTTCAATTCCTTAATTCTTCTGAGTTGCTATAATAACAGAGATCTAAATTTCAGCTTTATCTTGATTCCAGGACTTTTAATTGACAGATATTAGCTTCCTAAATTGACAAGACATCACACACAGGGATCTATCATCATCTTGCAACTGGAATATATTATGGAAATGCACTTTCATTATCTCTTGCTACCTTGTATAATAAAACATGAGGGAGAAACTGTTGTTAGCCCTTGTTTTTCCTCACAGAAAAAGTTGCTGTTCATTACTCCATTTGTAAAGCGCTGGGTAATTGTCAGGCTGAAATGTCCTTATTAGTGAATGCAATTTCTGTTTCATATTTAGCTTTTCCTTCCTTATTCTCTTTTATAGACAACTTGGGATGCTGGCAGAAGCACTCCCTAACAGGCCAAATTTTGTGCGCTAAATTAGGTTTAAATCATAGAAGGGAAGGGGGAGGAAGATATTTAAAACCCTATCAGCAATCAGATTCCTCATAAATGAGAAAAAAATAGGTTGGGGGCCCACAGGAGAGACTCCATGTCAGTGGTGCACAGAAGTGGCAAAGCCAGCCCCAACGTTCCTCCCTCGGGGAAGGTCCCGCTCAGCCGGTGCGGCACTCCATCACCCCGGAGCCAGCCTGCAAACCTCCCTACACCTCCAGCTCCTTCCCAGCTGGGCTTAGTCACCTCCTAACCAAAGCTTCCCCTGGAAAAACAACTCCTCACCTACAAGAGGAGTAAGGGAGTAGAAAGTCTCATTTCAAAGCTCTGTTAACTTCACCATTTTACCGCTTATTAAATCACACGAACGCTGACGCCACACGCGTGTGTGCGCGCTCACAGACCCCGTCTTATCTATCTCAGGTTTGCAATGAAGTTGGTTTTTACTTAACAAAGCGCCTTTCACTGAGCATCGCATCATAGCGTTGATAAAAAACCCACAGAAATTCAGAACACTACATTAAAGAAATGTAAAAGAAAGATTAGATCAATCAGAGAACACAACGACAAAACCAAAAATGCCCAGAATTTAGCAATGTACAAATGTACCAGCCACAAAGAGCTGTTGCTAAGGACAGGGAGAGGGGAAGGATGGCAAAGGAGCGTGGCACACGCGCGAGCGAGCACAGGGAGCCCAAACCTAGTGGGAATACGTGGGGAATTACAGATCTCAAAAGGATGGGAGCGATCACGTAGGATCATTTCTGGAATGCACACGTTTGAGACAGGGACTGCATCTCCAGACACGGGAGGTGGCTGCAACAATCAGGGACACGTGAGGGGGAAGCTGCTGGGGGAACCTTGGAGACACCACCAAAGTTTCACTGAGAACCATTGTGTTTAGAGCAGAAGTGCAATCTGACTCGGAGAACGGCCTCGGTTTGTAGGCAAAGGTGTATAAGCGACAAAAAACATGTAAATCATAGAATAGAATCATAGAAACGTCCAGGTTGGAAAAGACCTCCAAGACCATCGTGTCCAACCGCAAACTTAACGCTGCCAAGTCTGCCAGACGGTGGACGACGACTGCCAGGAGAGATGTGCCCAACCTTTAGGCACTGGGTCACCATCCACATCCAGCTCCAACCGAAGGGCTCCAGTGTGGGCACATAAGGGTGGTGCTTTCAAGTACCTACTTGTAGCCAACAACTAATTCGCTCCTCAGTGAGATCGGCCCCAGCAGATAACAAATTACTGATTTTTTGGTTTTTTTTCTGTAGCTAACCTTTTTGCTTTTGTGCATTAAGCTGATTTTATTGAACTATTCAATCAATTTCAATTTCAACATGTCCTTCCAATTTGTCACAACATCTCCAGGGGCATCTTAGTTTGTTGTCCTAATATTATTATTGTTACAACTATTAAAAAAAAAAAAGTAAGGCAGCCCCATGCCCCCAAGCATGAGAGACATTTTCTTGATGGCATTTTGATCACACAGAACAATTCTCATATTCTCTTCCTTTACCAAAATGACATTTTAAATAGCACAGGGCAGAAACTACACCACAGAGGTAACAAAATGGTCCTAACCCAGAGAAATGGAACAGTTACTACATGTTTGCTCTGATGCTACGGAAGTAAGGAAACAAGCCTCTGCCCTGAGGGGCTCCAGACCAAAAACCCAGCCCTAGAGAAGTCCCTGGGAGGTTCAGTGGCCAATATTTTTAATATATTTAACAAATCTTTACACTAGAGGAAAGTGTATGTGCTGCTTCTATATAAGCCAAGGAAAAAACTTCATCTTGATAAGTGCAGAGCTTTTGGTCTGACCTAAAAACTAAGAAGGGCTTTTGAAGGAAATATTATAGAGGAAAGAATAATTAAAGGAACTGTGGCAGATCTAATCTGTCTGCTCTTCTGCCAATCATCTGATACAGTGCCAAGAAGAAATACATCAGCTAAACTCCGGAAGATGGGAATTGGTTAAGGGGAAGTTGATCAAGGGCTTGGTTAAAAAGACAGCAGTGCCTTGTTCAGGAAGAAGTAACAGCTTGGAAGTAGGTTAACCTGACAAATAACAGAAACAAGATGTGATTTAATAGTAGAAAACAGAAGATAATGCAGCAAGGGACCAATAACAACTGTTCTGGAAGCTGGTTTATTGGACACGAGCAAGGAGGACAGGCACCACGTCGCACCAGCTTCCTGCTGCTGAGCAAGACTCCGACGCCGTTGGCAAACGCGTCATGAGCGGTATTAGCATTGCAGATACGGCAGCACTAATTCCTTGTGCCAAGCACCGGTGCCTCATCGGGATGCTGTGCACAATCCAGGTCCCTGGTATTCACTGCTGAGCAACCCGGATCCGACCAGGTGCCAGCAGTGAAGAGCCCATCACCGGAGAAGAGCCTAGAAGAGCTTGGCTTGTTTAGTCTAGCAAAATGAAGGCTGATAGCAGATATGATTGCTGTCTATAAATACATCAGGAGGATAAACACTAGGAAGGCAAAGGAGCAATTTAAACTAAAGGACAATGTTGACACAGGAACAAATGGGTATAAACTGGCCATGAATAAATTTCGGCTGGAAATTAGTAGGTCCTTCATCACTCACTAAAAGGACTGAGATGCTGGAGCAATCTCATACAGGGCCTGGGAAGCAAAAACGTTCAAAGGAATATATTAAATTAGGGATAAAATCCTTTTGGCCAAGGTAGAAATTATGACAAATTGAGCTAAAGCAGAAGTCAGATCTCTCAGCAGTCTCTGTGTACAAACTATTTTTTAGGAAGAAAAAGAATAAAACCCCTTTCAGTCCAAATACCACAATGTGTTTGTGTGAAAATGGTTTAAGACTTAACACTGATGGATATCACTGAACCAGCCTGTTCCATCGGCACACACAAAGGAATAGGTGCCCCAAACAAAAGTACAGCTATTGCAAGTGGCTCTCCTCAACAAGATACACCATCTCAAATCCCTGGCTGAGCTGCACACGGTGCTGAGAGTTTATAAATAAAACGAAATCATATTTAGAGAGGAAGTCTAAAAGAACAAAGTATTTTAAAATGAAATCCTAGTGATGAAGTGTTGTGATCCCAATTTTCAGATGCGCACGCACAGTATTTTTAGGAATATGGCTATTCTTGGGTTACACATGCAATTATTACAAATCACACACAAGCTGGGTAACTGTGCATGCCAAAGTCCAGAAATGCGGTAATTATGTGATTAAATTAATCTGCATTATGGACAAAGGGTTTGCAAAATTAGGACCTACATTTTCAAAGCTCTGTACAAATATTGTCCAATTAATTACCACTTCCTGAGAAATGTATGACTAGCTAATTTTAGCATCATGTCTGGTAAAGCAAATAAGGTTACCAGGATGCTGCTGCAGGATGTACTGAGCAGGAATCTATTGGTGAAGGAGGTAGAGAGTCTAAATCCTATTTCCTTCCATGGCTATTCTTATGTTTTCTTTATGTGTTTTTCCATCTCCCCTTACTTTTGCAGTACCAATGAGAAGAATATGGGATGCTCCCCTCTTTTTCCTACATAATTTCTTTACACGCTAGTGAAGTTTTGATGTTCACTTCTGCTGGTGTAAGACAGCTGATGGGGAATGTTAGTAACAAATATTATACCAGAGCCAGGAAAGCCAATTTGAAAACAAAC